ACTTGACCTAGTCGTCCCGCAGCGAGGAATGCTACTACAATGCTATTACAATGCCACTACATGCAAGTAGACTAACTTTACTATCGACCAATTTAGGGTTAATCATCATTTAACCAAGCAACTTCGTAAACACCCCAAAAAAAATTAAGCATTATAACCCAAGCCTTCTAATAACAAGCCTAGACAAAATGGTTTAGTGCTTCACCACTATCCATCCCATGACTCACCATTTGTAAAACCATCATTCTCAACATGCATTAAGGGAAGGACTCTTAATTGCATGACGTGAACATAAGCAATGAGTCACACCTTGTTGCAAATCATCTCTCCAAAAAGAGAAAATGATTTATGTGTTTGATCTTTCGTCCTTAGTGATTCTCTTTTCAATCTCAACTTGATTAAACCTTAAACTTGCATTTGTATTGCCTTCAGTCTAATCTAAGAAAAGTTTATGAGAGAGCACAACAATGACTACTTGAACCAATAAACTATTCCCTACAGTCTTGATTGACCTACTTGTAATCATGCCTAGGAAGGATTCATTAGTGCTATGCTAAATAACTACAGACTACCCTATTTGCCACTCATAATAAACCCATGGAGGTTTATTTTTACCCACGGTATATAGAACAACTCATAGAACCACCGATAGACTAACATTAATCCTACCAACTCAAAGTCTAACCTTGAGTTGCTAATATACTTCACTCACGAGCGTAAGCGCAAAATCATGTAAATGGAACATCTCAAATCCATCCTATGAGCCTAAGAGCAAGTTCATAATATGGTATAAAACGGTAATCAAAATCCATACCCAAGGAACAATTGCAAAGCCTTTGCGTCTAAATGTATACCCACTCAAATCATCATTTTCATTTTTGGCAACGAGACTAGTTGCCCAATCTCATTGGATAGTACTCACTGAAATGTATCCTCTAAGAAAAGCCCAAACCCTTCCAAGTAAAGAAACCAAATCTATCAGTAAGGTTTAGATAAACTATTGTAAATAAGCAGTTAAAGTTGTTTACACGGTCACGCCCTTTTATAGAATAAAGAACATTGACAAAGAGGTAGGTGATGTGACTAGTTAACTACTCTATGACTAAAGATTTCACCATACACATGAAGTGCCGAAGTTAATCTACCTATACTGGCCCAAAGTTAAAGACCAATAGATTGACAATATCAAAGTTAAAGACAATGGTATCTTAGAAACTTAATTATCAATGAATAAATCTTAGATTAAAACACAAAAGTATTCTAAGTAAGTATCATCCGATAAACCAGTATTATAGTATAAAATCCACCAAAATCACTATTGTTGGAAAACATAGGATTCATCATCTAACAAAATTCAATAGTAAGTGTATTATTAATAAAACTCAATGATAAAACTTAACTATCAAAGATTTTAGATAGCATGCTAAACAACTTATAAAAGACAATTAAAAGAACACAAAGTATCATTGATTGGCAAACACAATGCTTGCAAATGTATCACTTAAAGAAAATAACATTCTAATTTATTAAAACTAACTCAAGCAACAATCAACAAAACATAATGAATATGGTAAGACCAATAAACACTCATTCATGCTAACTATCATACTAGCTAATTTGAATAGATCCCAGTTAACAATACCAAGGAACTAGAGTTGCTCAAACAAGAATCAACAACATCCTACTGATATTTCAAACTCAAGAGACTAATTTAAGGCAAACCACAAAAATATATGGTAATGCGAAAAGCCAAAATATTTTACTTTATGGTTTTTACCCTTTATCCTATGGTGATTTACTTGAAGTAGAACCTAAATCCTCCATATACCACATGTCACATGCCATGTGTCCCAGAGATAAAACCCAAGCTTTAGGGCCTTGGTCCACTGAATGAAGGAATGGAGCCAACTCCTAAGCATGAAGCCAATGAGCAAAAGAACTGGAGTATGGAGTGACTTCCAACTGTTCAGCCCAAGGAGTGAAAGGACAAGAACGTAGAGCAACTTGGAATAGTCCTAGAGTATCTAGCATCCTAATGCCAAAACCAACATGCAAAACAAAGTTAAATGGAGTTTGGCACTATTTCAGCATACTGGTGGTCTAATACGAGGATATAAGTACTCCACCAACTAACATGGTATAGAACTTGGGTTTAGACTCAAGCCGGACATTAAACAAAGATAGGCATGCAAGTAGAAACTAAGCTATTCCTCAGGTTAGTCAGCCATGCCCATCCTTACTATACATTTGTGTTTAGTATAGTAAACACTATACTAAACTGTTTTTAGTATAGTTTAGTAAAAACTATACTATACTATACTATACTATATAGTAAAAACTATATAGGGGGGTTATAGGGGTAACCTATAACCCCCCTCCCCCTCTTGAGGAATGCATGTTTTGGACTTTCACCCTTTAGCCATCTTTAGTACTAGGAAGTCTTTGGGACTAACTCAAAATTTACTAAATATGGAATATCTCTAGATTGCGAATTTGGACACGAGATTAGCACCATTGTGTTTAGGACAATCTCTATATTCCATAGATATGCCAAATGAGAAAATCTAGACACTTTCCATAAATAACAATTAGGACCAAATGGTATTATATAAGGTGCATGATAATAAAGGTGTTTGGCAGACACAGTAATCTACTATCTGGCAAATATTGAGGGACTAAATTCAATATTGTGGGGGTTCCCAACACTAGTAAATGCAAATCCAACTTCATGAATTTCTCATCACTGTGTCAAGTATGCTTGACTTAATAACAACATAGGATTTCCTTCCTTAGTGCCTTTCCAGTCTAAGTGCATATATGATAACTAGTTTCTCAAATAGCTTAGGTGGAAACTAATAAAGGATCTAGCAATACTGACATTTTACCGCCGTGGCAAAATAGTTACAGATCAGTCTATTCACCACTTTTTACAAACTTAGGGGAGGTTTACTTTTATTTACGGTAACATGGAATAACTCATGGTAACCACCAATATACCAATATTAATTCTGCCAACTTATAATGTAACCTTAAGTTGTTAATGTGCCTTATCCATGAGCCTTAGCACAAACTCGTATAAATGGAACATATTACATCCATCCTATGAGCCCAAGCGAAAGCTCATATAATATAACCAAAATCCATACCTAAAAGACACATCCGAAGCTATAACAATCAAATATGTATCCATTTAAATCATTGTTTTCATCTATGTGTATGCAGTGAAATTAATTGCCCAATCTCATTAGATAACACTCACTGAAATATATTCTCTAATGCCAAATGTAGCATATGTGGTTTTCACATTTTATCCTTTAGTGATTTACCATAGGATAACCATGGAATAGAATTTAAACCCTTGGATACGTGGCCAAAAGCAACAAAGTGAAACCTAAGTTTCAGGGACTTGGGCCTCTAAATAAAGGTACAAAGTCAAACTCCTAAGCAAAGTTAGTCTTTGGGACAATCACAAAAATTTATTAAATATAGAATAGTGTTAAATTGCAAATCTAGATATAAGAACAACACCATTGTGTTTAGGATAATTTCTACATTTCATAAATATGCCTCACTAGTAGATGCAACCACTTTCCATAAATAGCCAATAAAACCGTGAGATTGTTATGATAAGTTATTATCTAACGAATATTTAAGGACTAAGCTCAATATTGTGGGGTTCTTGTTAACACAATGCAAAACAAAGTAAAAGAGAACTAACAAACTAGGCCAAATATACTTTGTTAAATAGACATTTGGAAATTCCTTCCTTATGCTCGTCTGGCTAAGTATAAATGCTAAATTGAATTTACTAACACTTCAACAAAAGGGACTGATAAAGGGTCTAGCAATGCCGATTTCCTACTATTGTGGTAGTAAGGAATAAATATCTGAAAGGACTTGCTGATAGATAACTTTCCATACCCACAATCATATTTGCAACAAAGCATCATCATAATCATTAGCATGTCCAAATGCACTTTTGAAGATGTCTAGAAGAAGACTCTAATTCATATGAGTAACTACACTTAAATGATTGTACCACTGCAATATTGTCCCTTAGAGACATATAAGAAACTCATGCAAATGCCAGGCATTATCTTAAGAATGATAGGTAGCTGTCACTGTAAAGTAGTCAAATCAATAATATATTTCATCTCAAGACTCCTATAGAAGAACTTTAGTTAATCACGAGGATTTATATTGTGAATATTGCTATCAACTCAGTCTTACAACTGTATGGTATTGAGTAATTGCACCAATTATTACTCCAAAGTCAAAGGAGGAAGAGGTTACTACTTTGCCATGGAGATGAGAAAAACAAAAGAGAAGAAATAGAAAAATAATAAAAGAGATCTAAATAATGTAAAAGTTAAATTTAAACTAAAATCATAAATTTAAGCACTCTTTAAAGACAATTAAAACTACCTCTCAACTCTACTAATTTGAGTGTATGGAATACAGAAATATGTATACATAATTAGTCTAAAATCATAATTTCTATATAGGAGTGACTAGTTTGGATTGAAACCAATTTGATGGATATCAAAATCCCACTTTGTTAAAATAAATATATGGCATTGTAATTATATATTTAAGTCTCACACTTTTAATTAAATTACTATAGTTTTTAATACATTTATAACTTAAATTATTAATTTATTAATATTATTAATAATATTATATTTAAGAAAATTTACTTTTACTCAAACAACCAAAACTTCTCCTCAATATACAAAAGAATTTATAGAAGCCGACAGCTTGAGAAATCACAAGCACCCTCCCCCAAAAAAAGGCCTTATTGTAGCTCTCTTTTTTCCTCTTCCCCTCTTCGAAGTATATGGAATTTACTTCCACTCACCAACAACCTTCAAGGAGGAGTTTTGAGCCATCTCCTTCTCGATCTCTTTCCTCCGAACCTCTGCATATTGCTCCACGCCGTGAGCCATGGCCTGGTGCTGGAAGTCGAGCGATCTCGACAGCGCTTGGAACCGGGCGGGATCACAAGCCGATATAGCTGGAAAACATAGAGCAAAACATTTCTACATGAGCGCTCGAAAGCGAAAAAGCTAGCATACCTTTTATGATGTCTGCGAAGAATATGAACGGGTCTACGTTATCAATGGCCGCTTGAAACTCTTCGTCGTCGATAAAGTCATCGTCGCTGTCGTCATCGTCGTCTCTAGGCTGGAAAGATTTTGCCTGGCGAGAAAGAAAAAATAAAAGCACTTAGATCTATCTAAACAGGTAAAAGAAAATCTATACGACCTGCGATGCTAGCTGTTGTAGCTTCTCGTTGTTCACTTCATCAGGGTCATCGTCGTCCCCGAGCTCTTTGTCCCAGTCCTCTTCGCCCGACTCCCAGCCATCCATGTCGCCGTTCTCCGTCTCTTTCGCGTTTTCTAGATCACGGGAGTTTTGTTGATAAAAATGATCAAACAAATTGAAAGCTTTCTAGTTACCTGCAACCTGGTCCTTGTATGCAATGAGCAGTCTGAGAACAGCTCTGAAAATTTGATCTAGCCCCGATTGAAGTTCTGCTGGCAATGCTGAACCGGGCAAACTAAGTACCGATGCCAATCCCAAGACGCAGACTTTCTTGTCATGTTCCCTGTAAGCTTCCGACAATTAGTTTCAATACCCAATCGCGTAAGGAAAAGAATACCGTCTGAAATGAGCCGGTAGCCCGCTCCTCTTGACAGCATAGAGCATTTGGAACCAAGACTGGAAAACACTGGTGGTTAACCTTAACTTCTGGAGGACGTTGAGGCATAATGCTGGATTGTAATAGAGAGCATTTGCAACCTGCACAAGTGAATACGATAAGTCTGTTATCTGGAAAGAGTGCGCAAGTTACCACTTCTATAAGTAGATCTTTAAGACCGTTTTTTGTAGTCGTACCATATCTATCGAGGCTTATTTTAAGGTAAGGCTCAACCCACTCATCAACCCGACCTTTGCAATTTTGAAGAACGGATTCAATAAGTTTTGGTGCGGCTATAATGTCGGAATCATCCAGCTTCTCGTCAGACATTACCTATAAGAATGGACAAAGAAAATGAGTAAGCGGCAGTTGAGTTATGCATACCATCGATAAGGCCTTGAACAAGCTTTGTTGATAATCAGGAGACTTGCATGTCAAAAAGTGCTCCGTGCTTCTTGATATGTAATTGTCGAGTGGGACGAGTATGTCTACAAGAAAGAATCGGAGTACAGGAGAAAAAAAAGATTAATAATGGATAAAAAAAACATAATCAAACTTACTCTCGAAGTAGTCTACTGCCCACTCATTCAATGCCTCCATGATAAGAGGCCAGAGAGTCCACATTTCCAAGGATATTGAAGGCGAATAATACGTCATGTACGACACAATCTCCAGTACTTCCTCAAAAACATCTGGAGCATATTGCGTTAAAAACAGACATAGAGTGCCTTCAGAACTTCACCTTGTCCATCAGTAGTTAACATCTTCCGCATGATAGGAAGTAAGGTTGGTTCCATCTGCGGGAAAAGGTGTGGCAGAGCACTAACCGATTCGAGAATTGTCCCAATGGCTCTTAAACAGCCCATGGCAGCGAGTGCTCCCGAGTCATCGTCATCCTCATCGGTCTCTGAGGACTGCAAGCACTTCCAAAAGGCGGCCGCCTGTCATGGAAAAACGGAAACGATGAGAAAATCCGCTGCTAGAGTTTAGACAGTACCAGATTCTGGCATAAACCAAGAGCGTAAGGTGCCATCTCTTCGCCAAACTTGTTCACGATGGTCTCCAGAGTGAACACAAGATCCTCGTTCTCAACCTCGTTCATCAACTTAAAGAACTCTGGAAAGAAGAACTGAAGTTAGAAAGAATTTCAAGAGTGTACATGCACTTGCCATCCAAAAGTTGAGGTAAGATTGCCCGAATCTCCCCAAGATCTGCCAAGAAAAAAGATTCAAGAACAAGGATAACAACTCGTGATCTGGAGTTACCTTGAGATGCTTCGACAAAGGACCTGAGAGCGATCACAGAATCTACGCGCACTGGAAGGTCGGGATCTTTCAGAGCACATACAACACTTCGTAAAGCTGTCGTAAAATTTGCAGGATTAGCAAAGGTGATACGCGCATATTGTCCAGAAACCCACGCAGCCTGTAATAAATGATGAAGTTACTGACTGTCAAACAATTGAAGATGTTCCTCTACCTTGGCTCTCAAATGACCAGCGGGACTGTTAAATTCTGGGTAGACATGCTGAACGAGCATTTGCTCCAGCTGATGCTTGTAAGGAGAGATTTGCTTGAGCCGATCGCTCAAGGATCCGACAGCCAAGAGGGCGCCATCCTTTTGTCTGTATGGCTTTTGATTTGCGGGGGCGGCATCATATCTGTCCAAAATATGCATGTCAGTACATTACATATATGAACAAATAAAGACACCTGTTAAAAACCTCTACGACAAACTGCAAAAACTTTTGTAGATGTTCTTTACGCCTTCTAAAAAGCTCCAAAATAAAGTTTTGTGCAGCAGTTCGAGGGCTGTATAAATCTTCGATTATATCTGCGAAGTGGACAAAAAAGAAGGAAAAAAAATCAAGGAACAGAAGAAACAAGCAAAAGTAATGACGAGATGCATACCATATCCTTTTCTCACATACTCATGAGGGTCGTCTCTCCAAAGTTGCTCGTCAATCGAGTTAAAGCACATGAGAGGAAAGATAATCTCGAACAGTATTAAGTCGAGTTGAGGCTTCATCTGTTGGTATGTTTGAGGTTTGGACACGCTGTCAAACAAATAAAACGTGAGATGGCATTGAAGCACAAACTCTTACCATGTGGAAAGATATTGAAGAGAAAGGTTTAAAACTCTATCCGTCAAATACTCGCCCCGCTTGTAGACGCCCAAAAGATTCATGTAAGACTGCAGAAACTTGTCAGCAAAGTGTGTCTGGAACATTTCTGAGAAGTCCGAGCACTTGGATGATTTTGGATCACCAAAGCTGCAAAAGAAAACCCGCCTTAGAGACAAAACCACACGCTAAAAAACTTACCGATTATATAGCCGGTTCACAATGTGCAGAGTCCACTTCTTCACTTTCCACCATCCCCACGACTTACGCATCTCTAGATCGGCTGGCTGGCCCTCCGAAGGAACAGGTCTCTCGACAAGATTAAGGAAGCAGGTCATCCATCCCGTACACGTATTTAGATTACATAGAATGGGTGGAATATCTAGCTGCAAGATTGAAACCGTAAAGATCAGTCACGAAAAGGCGTGAAAGAAAGAAATCACATACATATGTTGACGACCAAAAGATCTTGCAGATGAGCTTGATAAGGTCCGCAACCTCAATGGGAGGATTTGGTAACGAAATAAGATACTTCAGGATCTCTAAGAGCACTGGAAACATTGTGTCAAAAATCGCGTTGATAGGCATTCGATCACTATCCTCTTTAAACCTTGACAAGCAAAGAGAGGAGCGTAAGTTTCTAAAACTCTTGACATGATACTTTCTTACTCGTATTTCCGTGTAAGGATCCGCAATGCGTGCAATGCACCGTTGATCCGTTGTTGATCCTGAGACTTTAGATTACTATCGATCCCCGGTACGAGGGAGGGCCAGCGGTCGGGAAAATCACAGTGCACCATTGTTTTCAAGCATTCGGCAAGCTGGACCCTGTTCATATACGCAACCATTAAACAAATCTCATTCAAGCGCACTGAAAAAGCAAAGCTTTTCCCATTAAAGAACAGAGAAATAAAAACGAAAGAAACTATTCAAGCATGGACGAAGAACTACATAGAAGAAAAAGGAAGAACTAGTACAGACCTTATACAAGCATGAACGAAGAACTAGTGAACCATTCAAGAATACATCGAGCAAAAGGAAGATCGAGCAAACCATTTTTTCGAAGAACTAGTTACAGACCTCAAGAGAGATGGAACGTGAATGAGGGCCTCGAGAATGTTGTTGCGTATGGTGTTCCTATCGGTCTCGGATAGCTTGGGAAGATGGCCTGGAAAAGCAAAAACAAAGCTTTCTATGCTTTTGATCGACTCCTCGCACATCACGTACCATCTCGAGGACTCCACTCGCGAGAGAGCACATTCTTGAAATAAATACTCGCAATCTGGCGCACGGAGAGCTCCAAATTCGTCGAGACGATAATCTGTAGCAGTCGCACCAAATGCCCCTCGGCGAGCTCACACTGCGAGGAAAAAGGAATTCCATTCACATCAGCGCTTCATCCGATCGGATCTAAGACAGAGAGAAGAAGACTGACTGATCGAGCTCTCGATCAAACGATCGATCGCCATTACCTGCTTGAGGCGCTCCTCACCAGCTTTTCTTTCATCGAGGTTCCGGCTGAGAGCTAGCTGCAAGACGGCGACGAGCGACTGGACATCCATTCCCAGTCGTGCGTAGAGCGCCGGGCCAAAACCCTAGCGCCTCCAACGCAATTTCTGCCCCACTCTAGGGTTTAGGGCTCCTCTTCTCTCTCTCTCTCTCTCACACGGGCGAGACATGGCGGCATTGGCACGGCGCTGCGGCATCTTCCAGCAGCTCGCGGCGCGATCTTCTCCTCCTATCGGTTCGTGATCCTAGTCGTGGCAGATTCACCAGGTCTTAGAATATTTTCAAGCTGAGGATCAGTGCGATGTCGCTCGCGATCGATCTTTGTGCCTTGCGCTGTATGCTTGATTGCATTTCGGGATTTCGGGTCTTCGTGTGAGAGGAGAGTTTTTCTTGCTGAGGATCAAAGTTTTGTCTTTGTGGCATTTTTTATTCGTTCCTTGCGCTACATGCATTTGTTTGTTCTTGTTACTTCGCTGTTTTGGTGGTCAGTGTGTGAATTTATAGTCGTGGAAAGTTTCTGTGGGAAAACTTGTCGTTCGTTCTCTTACTCGTTCTTTCAATCTCGCTGAGCGTGTTTTTCCTTCTTCCAGATTTTGATCCACAGGCTAGAGCGCTACCACTTCTCTTCAAGAGATGGGCCACGAAGAAGGCCGGTGGGTCTACGGACAATGGCAAGGATTCCAAGCCAAAGTACCTGGGTTTGAAGAAGTCTGGTGGAGAGGTATGCCGTTCTTCACGCTTCTCTAGATGAATTCTTTCAGGTTTAGCGAGCTTTCGTTGACACGGGTTTTTTTTCTTGGACGATCAGAAAGTTATTCCTGGGAACATCATCGTTCGTCAGCGAGGCACGCGATTCCATCCCGGTGACTTCGTTGGCATGGGCCGTGACAGAACCATCTACGCGCTCATCGAAGGCACAGTCAGATTCGAGATGAACAAGAAGACCCAGCGAAAGTGGATTCACGTAGACCCGGCCAATCCACCACCTCTTCATCCGCTCTTCCTCAAGCCGGAGGAGATCGTGAAGCCCAAGCCGAGGAAAGTGAGAGTCCAGTCCAAGCAGCAGAAGATGAAGTGGTGGAAGCAGGAGCACACTGGTCCCGGGCCGACCGAGAAACGAACGCTCCCAGCGCTGTGCCTGCTGGATCCATCAGCAACACCAGCGGATCCGGGTGACGCTCCTCGGAAGCCAGCGACTAGAATGGCTCGTAGAGCGGCTCTTGCGAAGAAGAGGATCCGCTCCAGAGAATTCAACGCCAAGAGACTGGAGAAGGGTACTCACAAGGTCTCTAAACCGGAGGAGAGGATCGTTAAGGCAGTGGAGAAAAGCACTAAGGCAGGAGGGAAGAACACTAAGACAGAGAAACTCCCGGCTTAGCAGCAGCTCCTGGCATCGATGTGAACTATCTTCTTAGCTAGGCTGGCGTCGTCTCTGGAGGGATTGGATCAGCTCGACTCCACAGCTTTTGCTTCGCTTCTTTCCAAATGCGGGGCTACCGGGGACCTGGCACAGGCAAAGCGTCTCCATGCTCGGCTCGCGAGATATCCCAGATGGGAGCTCGACACCTTTGTGGGAAATCACGTCGTCAAGATGTACGCGAGCTGTGGCAGCGTGGAAGATGCAAAGGCAGCGTTTGAAAGGATCCGGCCGCGCAATGTTTTCTCCTGGAACATCATGCTCTCGGCCTATGCCCAGAAGGGACACCTCCGCGAGGCAAGGGAGCTGTTTGACAAGATGGAGAAGAGGGACGTGGTTTCATGGACGACTTTGCTCAGTGGCTATGCTCAGATGGGGTATGTGGACGAGGCCAGGGGATTGTTCGACAGGATGAAGCAGCACAGTGGAGTGTCGTGGAGCTCGATGATTTCGGCTTATGCCCAGAACGGGTATCCCAGTGAAGCGCTGGAGATCTTCTGGGCGATGAGCCTGGAGGGTGTGAAGCCGAGGACGAGCACTTGGGTGTCCGTGATTGATTCGTGTGGCAGTGCTTTGGCTGTCAAGGATGGTGACGTGCTTCGCCAAGCTGTGAAAGACGCGGGGCTTGAAGGAGATGTCGTGGTCGGGACTGCTCTCGTCGATATGCTTGGGAAGTTTGGCAAGCCCGAGGAAGCCTGGCGGGTCTTCGCTGGGATTTCAGAGAAGAACACCATATCCTGGAATGCTATCATGTCGGCGTTCGCGCGGAATGATCGTTTCCAGGAGGCACTCCGGGTGTTCCAGACGATGTGCTTGGAAGGTGCCGAGCACGACAGTGTGACTTTTCTCAACGTTTTCAGCGTTTGCTCCAAAGCTCCCACACTGGCTTTCGAAGGTGAGTGCTGGTACCAGAGGCTTTTGGAAGCTGGTTTTGCATTCGACTGCTCTTTGGAGACTGCTGTGGTTAACATGTGTGTCAACTCCCGTAGGCTCGAGCAGGCATTTCGTGTATTCGACGGGATGATTCGAAAGAGTGCCGTGACATGGACGATTCTGCTAAGAGCTTGCGGCCAAAGTGGTGATGCGAGAAAGGCTCTCAAGATGCTGGCGCTCATGGACCAAGACGGAATTCCTCCGGACAAAATCGTTATTCTCAGCCTTTTGGAGTCTTGCAGCTCGAGCCTGAGCTTCGGCAGCGTGCAACGAGTCATCGAACTTCACAGAGATGTTGTCGAAGGTACCGGTTTTCATTCAGACTCTAAAGTTGGAACCGCGCTTATCATGCTCTATAGCAGGTGTGGGAGCTTGGAGCACGCAAAAGCGTCGTTCGATGGCATTGTTCGCGGCACTGTTGCTTCCTGGACTGCAATGATCGTGGCATACATCCAGAGTGGTGAGTGCCACAGCGCCTTGCAGCTCTTCAGCACAATGGACTTGGAAGGTATTCATCCGGACACCGTAACTTTTGGCTACGTTCTCAGCGTGTGTGCCAATGCAGGAGCTCGTCAACACGGGAAAGCAATACACTCGGCTATTTTCGAGGCTGGGATCGACACAAGCGGCGCACTGGGAATCGCCCTGGTGAAGATGTACGAGAGATGCGGCAGCGTGACTGAATCCACAAAGCTCTTCAAGGAGATGCCCGAGCGTTCTCCACACCGGCTGATAGCAGGCTTGCATTGCCAGCAGATGGACGAGAAAGAGGTGGAGGAGATGTTCCAGGCCATGGACTTGGAAGGCCGGAGTTTGGACAGGGAAGCCGCCATCGCCACCATCACCGCGTGCTGGCAGAGCTCCATCGCCAGGACGATCCACGCTCGAGTTCTGGAGTCCGAGTGGAGCCTCGACTCCAACTTAACGGCGGCGCTCATCAACATGCACGGGAAGTGTGGCAATCTCCGCGAGGCCAGGAGAGTTTTCGACGAGCTTGGCAGTGGCCGGGACAGTGTGTTGTGGACGAGCATCATGGCTGCGTACTCCCGCGACAGTGGTGCCAAGAGCTGTCAAGAGATCTTCGAGCTGTTTGGGATGATGAGCTTGGAGGGCGTGGCTCCCAGCGGTGTGAGCTTCATCATCGTGCTCACGACGTGCAGCCATGCCGGGATGCTGGGAAGAGCAGTGGAGTGCGTGAGGTGGATGATCCAGGATTTTGGAATGGAGGCTGGGGGTTACCATTTGGCGTGCGTGGTTGATCTGCTGGGACGCGCTGGTCGAGGTGATGATGCGGCAGAGGTTGTAAACAGGATGCTTGTAGAGAATAGAGCGGCATTGTCTTTGATGTATTTCGACACACTGGTAGAAGACAAAAAAAGCTTGCATTGATCAGTATTAAAAAAATCCCTATTTTGGGATTGTCTTTGATAGTATTTTAAGAATCAGAAAATTAGTACAGTACTTGTTTGTATATACAGAGATATCCTCAAAATGAGTCACAACGAAATACTCATTTTGGGCATTTACAAAATCTTTGGCGTTCTGCAACCATATGATGATTCAACAATGTTACATTTAGAAAAAAATTATGTTTATTTAATGAATTTTTCATTAAAAATTTAATTTTATAACATTTTGTGAGTGCTTCAGGTATGGAATTAAATACATTAATTGGGGTTTAGATTTTTACTTATTTACAAATTAGCATATTATCTAATTAAAGATAATATATATGTATATCTCTCTCTCTCTCTCTCTCTCTATATATATATTTATATTTATTTATTTATAAACCTTACATTATGCTTCTATTCAGAAGATGAAAAAGGTGATGATGATAAATCAAGATAAATATCTTTTACTAGATCAATTGTAGAGTACCACAAGAACTTAAAATTCCTATGGAACCACTAACATAATTGTTAACAATTATGATTGAAAAAAAACCCAAAACCATAATATAAGCATCAATTGACTATAGAATCTTGATGAATTTATTGCAATTCTATGCACAACCACTTAATGTTTGAACAAACTTCAAAGTTATAACTTTGAACTGAAGCAAAGGATTTCAAAGCCACTATTGTCCATAAAGCATCAATGCAACAAATAATACATCTATATTAAATTTCCCCACTAATAATTCTTCAAGACCATTGTTAAATCAGATTTATGACCACAAGTAAAACTTACTTTTACATCTTCCCTTTGGTCAACATTAAGAAATTGTGTTAACTCAAACTCATAACCTTTGTCCTTGTTCAATATTGTATATGGGATGTTAGATTCATTCTATTTGTCCTCTATATCTTTTTTCTATCTTCTTCAAACGAAAAAAATTTTTAAAGCATTAGTTTTGTTAAGACTTGCTACACTCATCTTTACTCCACCATTTATATTTAACTTCATTCCATTATTACATCCATTTAACCTTAATACATTAAAGGTAGATTTGCTATGTTCCTCCTCACTCCACAATTCATATTGTTATTCCTATCCTCTAAAGGAAAAAGAGTTTGAAGTTTTAGGGTGAAAAAGAAAAAGTAAAAGAATTTGAGGAAGAAATATTATGGAAAAAGAAAAAGTGGATAAAAAATCATCAAAAGAGGAATTTTTAGCAACTATCAATATACATCAGCCAGCACAAAATAAGCAAGAAATTCATGCCATGTAACCTCTTGAACACACAACTTAATATTTGAGATAAAAAAACAATATATAAACTCATCAACAACAATGATAAAGTAAAGGCTATTAGTGGCACTTATAATTTGGGATGTGCATTCAACTTGAAACTTTAACAAAAGTAACTCAGCTTTTGGAATAGAGGAATACTTAATATCAAAATTAATTAATAACTATTAATAAAATAAAAGTAAAATTTCCAATTTCATGCATATGCTCAACATCTAAATTAATATAAGGAAGATAGAAAATACTCAACTCAACACTATATTGAGAAGGAGAATCATAAAAGTCATAAATGATCAATGTGTAAAGAGAAGGAAATATTGCATATGACAAAAAAACACTAGAAACATAAAAAAGTGGCTCAAGTCAGGAAATAAAAAAAAATATTAGGAAACATTTGTCAAGAATCAAACTATATCATTCATAACTCTCCAATCAATGTTATAAACATTCTTCACATTAATGGTTTAGGGTTTAGGGTTTAGCAAAACACTAAGAAAAGAAAAAGCTTTGTAATCATATCCCATAGAATCTAAAGATAGCAATACAGTAAGGATGAGCACACCATCAATATGATTACACCTTATACCACTAAAAGCATAATTTAATAGAGTAACATCAGCAACCTTAAGTGACATACTTTTTAATCGATAGGAATAAAGAAATACAATGAAAATCAAAAGAAGAATAAATTTAAGCACAACAATAATTAGAATTCTAGATCTTGCAAAAAGCTAAAACAAACTTAGATCTAAAAGAGAAAGAAAAAAAGAAAATAAAAACCACAATCCTAAATACTAAAGCCAAATACTCTTAAAAAAATTTGCCTTCTAGAGATAAATTGCAATGCCCCTCCTAATGTGAATGTTTGGGGATATTAATTGAGGTTTAGAACCCTATTAGATAGACCAGATTTAGTTCTAATAGACAGTTTATATGCTATAGTTAGCGTATTATCTAGGCAAGGTAATATATGTATGTATATATATATATATATATATTTATTTATTTATAAACTTTATAGTTTTAAAAAAATGATATGCAAAAAATGCTAAAGTTAAAGCTATCTTAAAGGGTCTTTTGTTTTTAGGCTAAAATTTCACTACATATTTTTTCAGTTTAAAATTTAAAATATAAACTTCTACTACTTTTTGGTTTGCTTAAGCAAACCTATATGGTAGTGAATATACCTAGAATATGCTTGGATATTTTACGATATTTTACCATTTAATGGTTGTTATTCATTTAGATTAATTTTGTATTTATAATTTATAAATATGTTTATAATCTATAAACTTTTTTAAAACATTTATAGTATATTATTTTTTAATCTATCATCTAATTATTGATATGCAATAAGATTAGTCTTATGTTTATAAATTAAAAACACGCTTATAATTATAAATTTTATTTGATCAATTGGATTAATAAGTAAAAATAGCATTACCATTAAGCAAACCAAATGTTGCTAGATGCAATGCATAGCAATTTATTTTTAATAATCATTACATTTTTATAGTTATAGTTGTGTATAAAGTCTATATGGAAAAAGAAATTGTATTAAACAGAAGCAATGTTTTATTTTATTTGGGCCCTATTTAATTTAACCTAGGAATTAAATATTTACTTGAGAAAAAAAAATTATTGAGCTTATCCAATACTCTAATGAAATCATTTGGTAGATTGTAACACCATTCTTTTCTCCACGTTTATGTAATTATTCATTTAGTGGATGGTAATAAAAGTTGTAGCACCATTCTTTTCTCAAAATTTATGTAGTTCAAGTATTCTACAGTTCTTTTCTCAGAGTTATATAGTCCAAGTGTTCTACAGACTCCATTCAAACCCATGGAATTCATCAAATACGAAGTCCATAGTTTAGGATCAGCAACTCCCAATTGTGGCAATCATGAAAGGTTGTGGACAGAATTTGGAAGGTAAGCTTATTGTTTATGAGTGTATTATTCCTAAACATTAGAGTTCTGGGTAAATATGTTTCCTGTAAGAATTTTATGGTGACTCAACAATGCTACATTGCAACCACACGAAAATGAAGCGATTTAGCATTACATTAAGGCCATGTTTATCGCATAAAATTAGTGGTATCCTCAATGCAATGATGCAACAAAATGCCCATTCTGGGCATTTGCGGAGACCGGTAAGATTTCTATGACAACTTGACAATTGTACATGACAAGCACACCAACAATGAAGAGATTTAGCATTCCAAAGAGGACATGTTTCTTGGATTGCATTCATCCTCCTGGGAAAATTCATGCATTAGATTCTTACATTTTTCTTGCTTTTCCCATTCTGAATTGATCCCTGACAGGGCTGCGCCTATTTCTTCCTGCTGCTCTTGCCAGCGGCCTTGGCCTCCGCCTCGGCATCCGGCTTGTCCGCCTCCACAAATGCCCGGTTGAGCGAGTGCCAAAACTCCACCGCTCCATCGTCCCAAGGCTTCACTCCATAGATGAGACAGTCATGGTAGAAATTGGGCTTCCCTCCAGACGCGCCCATATGGGGCTTGGAATTGGGAGACGATTGCCAGACATAAAGCCCTTGCCAAGAAAGCACATTCGTTCTAGCCACGGCATATTCTGTTTGCCTGCTAGAATATGCTTTGACAGAGAGAGACTATTCCGTTTGTTTTGTCCAAGAATATGCTTAATTTGAAAATAAATATTCTTGAATATTTTTATCTCCAAGGGGCAAGCTAAGCTATGGCGATGGCGGCAGTGGCAGCGTCTCTCCGCGCAAATCTCCGCTGCAAGAGGCCATGGCAGGAGGCGAGCGGCGCGCTGGGCGACCTGGGCACATTCGTCCCGATCGTCGTGGCGCTAACCCTAGTGAGGGGCCTGGATCTCGGTACGTCGCTCATCGCCACCGGCCTTTACAACGTCGTCACCGGCGCGGTGTTTGGCGTGCCAATGCCCGTCCAGCCGATGAAATCCATCGCCGCGGTGGCCATCACGGAGGGCGATTGGTCGCTCAGCATTCCCCAGGTCATGGCCGCGGGGCTGTGCGTTTCCGGGATCGCTTTCTTCCTCGGGATCACTGGGCTCATTCGAGTCGTGGCGTGGATCGTACCCCTGCCGGTGGTGCGAGGGATCCAGCTCGCGCAGGGGCTCTCCTTCGCGATCACTGCCGTGAAGTATGTGCTCCAGGAACAGGATTTCTCCAGAGGGAAGGCTACCGGGGACAGGCCTTGGCTGGGACTGGATGGGATCCTGGTCGCTCTCGCTGCTCTGGGATTCATCGTTCTTGCCAATGGATCCGGGCAAGGCGTCGAGAATTCACAGCGTGGTGATGATCAAGATCAAGAGGCCGGTGACGAAGAAGAACACGTCGAAAGCTCATCGCCCACCACCTTTGCGACGAGGATTCCAACCGCGCTGATCGTGTTCTTGGTCGGGATCCTCCTCGCAGCGGTGAGGAACCCGAGCATCTTCGATGCTCTTCGGCTGGGACCAAGCATCCCTCGCGTCACAAGGATCACTGGCGAAGACTGGAAGATTGGTTTTGTGCGAGGAGCGATCCCGCAGCTCCCTCTCACGATCCTCAACTCGGTGGTGGCGGTTTGCAAGCTCTCCAAGGATCTCTTCCCGGAGATGGAAGATCGCGTGTCGCCGACCAGGGTCTCGGTGAGCGTCGGGATCATGAACTGGATCGGGTGCTGGTTTGGAGCTCTCCCGGTTTGCCACGGCGCTGGGGGACTGGCCGGGCAGTATCGATTTGGAGCGAGCTCGGGAGCGTCAGTGGCGATGCTTGGAGCTGCCAAGCTTGTGCTTGGATTGCTGCTAGGGAGCTCTTTGATCAGGCTTCTAGACGCGTTTCCTATCGGGCTTCTGGGGATCTTGCTGCTCTTCTCAGGGGTGGAGCTCGCCATGGCTTGCCGGGATCAGACGAGCAGGCTGGATTCGTTTGTGATGCTCACCTGTGTGGCAGTGTCGCAGGGATCCAAGAGTCTTGCCACTGGTTGTGTGTGTTCTATACTTCTGTTTGTGTTGCTCAAGGTGAGAGATGTGGTGTTTTGGAGGCGTCTCTCTACTAGGAGCGATCTACAGCCACTGCTGTAAAGCCTGTCAAAATAATTATGATATAATTATATTTCACTTATAAACAAATTTATTTTTTCCTTGTCAATCATCCCAATAATAAATGTAAATAACCTGGTTTTCTTATTATATTTAAACTTTTATAAAAAATAATTTCTTGTGATATTATGTAATCATTTTAAATATTTCTTTTTCTTTCCTTTTTCTATATTCATTATAAATTTTATTAATATTTACTAAATTTCTTACTTCAGTTATATATGAATTTTTATCACTTTTTTTTCAACCTTATAAAAATAATATAAGCTCTTTAGTTTATAGTTCTGTTGATAAGCCCCAATTAATTAGCCATTCAGTAATCACTTATCAACATCCTCAATATATGAAATAATTTTATCCTTCAATGTCTTTATTTTGATCTTTACCAAATTCTTTTTCTTCACATGACCATGTTTGCTAACACTATTGTTAAATTAAATTTTAAAAAGCAAATCTCACTATCTAAACATTCCTCACCATGTAATTATACTTTTGGTTACTAAGCAAAAAAAATTATTTTTTTCTTTCTACAAATATATATTTTGGAATGATCTTTCAAAATACTATAACCTAACACAATCTTTGTGGGAACTCCCACCACATTTAACTGCTAAGATGCCCTAGTTACATAGCTAAAGCAAGGTTTTGAGTAACTGTTAGTCTAAGTAATTTGAGTTATTTGGAAGTAATTAGTGTTACCCATATTTGGATTGTGAGCATCAACTATTAGATTTTACCTTTATAAGGGTAATATAAATTTCTTAGATTGGCCCCTTATAAGGCTAAAGATGAAAAAGTAATAAAAATTAATATAGAAAAATATTAAAATAATTGAAGTAAGAGATTTTTGGTTTGCTTAAACAAAAACTAGATGGTACTGGATATGTATTTATAAATACAAAATTAATCTAAATTAATAACAACCATTAGATGGTAAAAGATCCTAAAATATCCAAGAATATTCTAGGCAATAAGATTAATCTTGATTTATAAATAATAAACCATGTTTATAATTATTGATCAATTGGAATATTCAAAAATACTAAATAAGTATGACATTACTATTAATCAAACCAAATGTTGCTGCATATGATATGTAGTAAATTTTGATAAATAGTAATAATAAAAAATGATTATATAATATCTTAAGAAATTATTTTCTATAAATCTTTAAATAAAAAAAATAGACTATGAGATCCAAGTGTATGGCTATAATGTTATATACTAATATTATTATAGTGAGATTTTGATAGCTATTAGATTGGTTTCAATCTGAACCACTTAGTCCTATATATAAACTAAGGTTTTTGGGTTAATTAATATGCATATTTTTATATTCCATTTCCATATTTCATACATTAACATTACTGGAGGTGAAAGATAATTTTGATTATCCCTAAGGAATGTTTGGATTTGGGCTTTTGGTTTAAATCTAGTTTACAACACTTAGATTTTACTGTCCATATAACTTCTCAATTTATTCTCTTTTTTTTTTTCTTTTTTGTTCATCTTTATGGTAGAGTAGCAGCTTCTTTCCTCTTTGACTCTAGAATAAAAGTTGGTGCAATTGCTTAATATTATATGGTTATAGTTGAAAAATCAAATTTAGTTGATAGTAGCATTTAAGATGTATGGTACAACTCCTATTACTCTTATTGTCAATCCTCACATCTGGTTAGAGTATTTTTATAAGAATCCTAGAGATTAATATGATCACTTTATGGTGATTGCTATGTATTATTCTTGGAATTTGTATAAGTTTCCCATGTGTCTTTAATGGATAGCGATGTAGTGGTATAATGGTTTAAGTGTAGCCACTTGTGCAGATTTGAGCATTCTCCTAAATGTCTTTAAGTATTTGAACATGTTAACAATTGTGATAATGCCTTTCTAACAATTACATCATTTTTATCAAGGGCCATTTAAGTTAGTGATGCAATTTGGTATTCACTTCCAAAGCATTTTACTTCATGTAAAACCAAATATATCAAAGCAGATTAAGTTAAGAATATTGTAATTAACATTTTATCAAAATCTTGTGGGACTTGAGTATGCTTTTGCTCCACCCACATTAGACGATATTATTTGACTAGCACAACCTTATAAGATATTACTTCTTCCATTTCTCATTATACATCCTTTAGCTCTACTTTTTGTGGAAGATAATCCTGTTTTGATAGTGGTTGATGCTGTTGCTGCTGATGTTCAAGGACAAAGGCAAAAATGTGATTGTGATCGTGATGTCTATTGTTAAGCGTATGACAAGATTGGCCACACATATCAGCATTGTTAGTATTTTTTGAATTGGTGTACTCTATTTCCTAAGTGAAAGCCTTAACATCAATAATGTCTTATTAGCAGAAATTTTTCCTGGAAATGAAGAGTTATACGGTCATTGCATGAATAAGTCAATGACCCCTCCATCCTTCTTTCGGAAGTACTATTAAGGGGTTCATTTAGCACCAGTTCATCAAGTGTTTACTTTCCAAGTTTGTTTTTATAATAAAAGGTTTTTTATTATTCTTTATATATTAGTTTATATAAATTAGATTTTATCTTTTCTTGCTCAACTTATTGCCACATGTTGCTATTTACAATTGCATTGTTGGAAGAGTCTATCTTCATTCTTTATGGCAATAGTAGTACATATACATATATGAAGGACAAAACAAGTCTAATTATGTGTGTAGGTGATCTTGAGCTTAAACTTTAATCATTGCAAGTGGTGTTAAGTTAAGTTTTTGACCTCATCCTTGGTATGGATTAGTTGTTTCAAAATTATGCCAAATGTGACATTGAGGCTTCTTCCTTTGTCTCATACTTCTTTATATTTCTTTTATTCTTTTCAATTTTATTCCATTTTATCTTTTCACTTCTATTTCTGTTTCCATCATTTTTGTCTCCCTATTACTTCCTACTATATTTCCATCTTGCTCCTTTATTCCCTCTCTAAATCATTTTCACAATCTTTGTGTTATAATGGTTAACCAACTTAAGAAAGAGTATATTGATTTCTTCAACTTTGACTTATTATCTAGGGATAAGATTGCAACCCATCATCCTATTTCAATTAGAGATGTGTAAACAACTAAAAGAAAAAAGTCTATAAATAAGAATGCACTCCCTTTTCTAATCGATTAAGGGTTTTAAGATATTTGGGGTTGAATAATACTAGGATGAGTGACCTCTTGAGAAGTTTAAATTCAAGAGTTTATAAGATGCTCATCCAATAAAGGTTCCTATTTGGTGTCAATCATTGAAAAAAATTAAGAATTTATGTATGAATATCAAGATGATATTGGAGAAAAGTGTTATCTAAAAATCTTGGAATCCTTAGGTGTGTGAACATCATCTTATGACAAAGACTAATTAGAGTATTTACTTTTGCATTGACTATTGTCTATTAAACAAGGTGACTATCTCAGATATGTACCCTTTTCCTTATATTGTTAATTTTCTAGATTGTTTGGGGAGAAGTTTTTGGTTCACCAAATTAGCTTTTACTTTTAGGTACTAACAACTGGCAATGACCGAGGAAAATATTCCCAATATTACTTTTCATATACCATTTGGTTTTATAAGTTTTTGGTGATGTTGTTTGGTTCAAACAATGCTCCGGCAACTTTTCAATACATGATAGATGAGATTCTTTACGATATGCTAGAAATGACTATTAACTTCATTGATGATGTCTTAATTCATTCAGAGGGGATATGGAAAAAACACATTTGTGATGTTTGTAAAGTGTTGAATTTGCCATAGGAAGTTAGTTTAAAGTTGAAATAATTGAAGTGTGTGTTTGGGTCTAAAGACATAACTTATCTTAGATTACTATATTTCTTATGAAAATTTGAAAGTTGATTTTGATAAATTTATAGCTATTTTACAATTCTTTACTATATGGTGTGTAAATGACTTCCTAGGCAAGGTGCAATATCTCGGTTACTTCATTAATCATCTTTCTAATCAAACTACATTGTTGCAAATATTGTTAAAGTCATCAACATTATCTTTCATTTGACCTGAAGATTCTGAGTAGGCATTTACAAATCTCAAAAAGTTATTAATGACTCCCACAACTTTGGCATATCCTAACTATAGTCAACCTTTCATTTTGCATGTGAATGCTTTTGATATCTATCTAGGAAGGGTGTTAGCCCGAATCTGCTTAGTTAGCATCATTCTATTGCATACATCAGTTGTACATTACAACTAGTAAAGGTTGTTTAATGAGCTCCAAAAGTATAGTAGACAGAGGACTTCAATGAAGCCAATTTGGCCAAGAAAGGCTAATTTGACCAAGGAAAGTTATACTTATAGCTTGGATGATGATATAACCACTAAAGAGTCCAAAGCTAAAGTGAATACAGACAGATAAGTGAGGTAACTTAATGAAGTGTTCAAGAGCCAGCTTTAGCTCCTCGGGAGATCAAATGGTTAATGCTCCCAATCCAAGTGTGGGTAGCATTACCTACTTAGATACTTAGTATGGCTTATCAGAACCTCACTCTAGAGCACCCAAGGGCAAAAGGTGGGGAGAATACCCATGAGGCTTGTGTAAGGTTGTGGTGTTTCAAAATGTTGTTCCAAAACCCCAAATTGTAGAAAGGAAAAGAAACAATCCTCTTGTGTAATAACTAGGATACGGTTATGTTATGATCCGGCGCAAAAAGGCAGAGATCTAGTCACCCTAGACTATGCTACACCACCTCTTGAATTCCCTCACCACCCAACCCCTCAAAAGCTCCACCACACTACCGCTCTACTGTGAGCCCTAGGATAAGGTTTTTGTCCCTTACCCTAATATGCCTTATATACCCTTGAGCCTCCCTTTGACTGATGTTGACCATGTGGTCAAAACTAGCGCCTAATAATTCTTCCCCCCCAACAAAGTCCTTGTCCCAAGGACGAGTTGTACTGGTGATCACTCTTTCTGGGGAACCCTGCTCAAACTTCTGGTCCATCTTTCATAGCCGTATACATCAAGGAGGCATTGGGCCTGTCACTCTGAGATAGTACACCTTTCAACTGGCTAACATAACATA